TGGGACAACCAGAGTCATGCGCAAGGGACAACACGCAGCATAGCCTAAAATGAGGAGTTCCCCTGGTATTTTGCTAGCAAGGTTTAAACTCTGATGTTTATTTATGGTGCATTAGCAACTGATGCAGCTTCTCAGCTGAAACCATTCAGAGAGGCCAAGAGAAGGGCTCTGGGCCAAGCCTGGCTCCTGAAAGCAATCTGTTGGAGACGGCCCAAAGCCTGACCATCTGATATCAAAGTGATTTTTTATAGTCCCTCAGTTGTTCATGACGCTATCGTTGGATTACAAAGGATATGGGCAAGTTTTATGCAGCTGCTTTGAAACAGCGCATGGCCATAGGGTATAGTAAAGGCAGAGGCATTCTTGTGATGCCAGAGCATCCCTGCTCCCGCTTTCCCCTTGATAAGCTGTAGATTTCTCCCAAGCAGCAGTGTGCTGGATGTACCATCATCTCTGAGACTTTACAAACCCATTGAAGCCAACTGAGGGTTGCAGGGGAAATTAAAACCAAAGCCTGCTGTGCTAAAAAGCAGCGAGCAGAACAGCAGCAAGAGCGCAATGTTTATATTTCCCACCCCAGAATTAGAAGCGAGAAGCATCTTCTCACATTTCAATCTTTCAGTAAAATCCTGGCGAAAAACATGTTTGCTGCTGCTTATGATTAATAAGTGTACAAAGGGTCTTACAGCATGTTTTGAATAGAGCCGTGCTTGGCAAATGTGTTTAGTTACTGTAGCTAAAGCAGAGCCTATCCCAGGGTGGAAGGGCTTGCAGATGGTAGGGCTCCAGTTAACTGGAAACTGGGACAAGGAACTGCTCCCAAGCCCATTTCCTGACCATAAGAGCAAGAGTAAGATCCTTAGAGTATCCAAGTGACACACAAAAAATATAAAGTCCTTTATATAGGTTTGCATTTTTCCACTAAGTCCCAGGGCACCTGGATGAGCCCAACTGGAGCTGTTCACCAGGGGTAAAATATCTCCCTAGGGTTTGACTTCAGCTCAAATCCCCACTTGAAATCCTCTGTTAATTGTTTCATCCACATTTTCAGCTGAAGCCAGGCTGCTCCCAAAAACGTCACTTACAAGGAAAAAGGGTCAGTGAAAAGTGAGTGCACCAGGAGAAGTCACCTTCTGAACAATACTAATGCGTTGACTCTTCAATTGATGCGTTGGTCGGGGCTGTGTTTGCTTAAAACAGATTCCTTGTCTCTACACATGAGACAGATGGCACTGGCAACATCTACTAGAATTTACAGCAAATGATCCTTTTAGCATTTCGTTCATTTTTTGTGTGCGTGAAAACCCATCTACCCAGCCTCTTACCAAGCATCCCCAGCGATGCTGGTGGCAGCCACTAGCAGAGACCATCTGCAACAATATGTGGCGTGCTCTGTATGGAGAGGAGAGCACTGACCAAAAACTGGTCCCAAACCATCTTTCAGCTGTATTCAAGCAAGAACTGTTTGTATTTTGACATCTCCAGCCCATACTGAACCAGCTGCAGCTGTGCTTGAGCTATAACTGCTGCAGCTCCATGTCCATGTCATAGCAGAAGAGTTTTGTCAAATTTAGGGGATTTGTTGCCTGGAGATGTGGTACATGCCCCATCCCTGGAAATATTCAACGCCAGGTTGGACAGGACTTTGAGCAACCTGATCTAGTTAAAGACGTCCCTGCTCACTGCAGCACTGGTTGGACTAGGTGACCTTTAAACATCCCTTCCAACCCAAACCGTTCTGTGACTATGATTCTATCAAGTGAGGGCAATGCCCTTTGGCGAGAGGAACACACATACCTGCATTTCATGGGAGGCATTTAAAAAATGTGACTGGCAAGGCAGCTTTCAACCTCCAAAAGAAAATTTTTCAGCTGTTGGATGAAGCCGTTTTACTCCCTGACAGCATCTTCTGTCCCATTTGCCAGCATGGAGCCTACTTGCGCCTGTGCTGCCTCCCAGTGAAAGCAAATCCTTGGCTTTTTTTCCTTGTGTAACCACAGCTCACCCAGACCAGCTGTGCCCATTTATCTCCCACCCAGAGGCAAACAGCAGGGCTGGGATGAAATCCACCTTCTTCACGGGATATCAAACTGCCTGCACCCAGAAAACCGGCTCGAAAAACCCAATCTGCCTTACAGGGTGTAAAATTCACAATTTATGCTCTTCTGCACTAAATCTACCAAGTTAATCTTGCAGCTGCTGCATCTTTAAACCATCAAGGTGTATTGTCATGGGAAAGCAGTTGTGATCAGAGACTGGACTAAAATCCATATGTCTCGGCATGGAAGAAGGGATGATTTTGCTGCTTTGTCCCTATCCATCTGGGGGGTCCCCAGATGCTGCCAAGCAACATGCCAGGGGGTCCGTGGACACGCAGAGATTTCAGTGCTCTGAGGGATGGGCTCTCCCACAGGAAATCAGATTCGTGGTTTTCTTGCATCACCTGCATACACAACACGGTGTCACTGACTGTCCGAGTATGTGTCGACTCCCCCAGAAGTATGAAGACAGGCTGAGAAAGTTCAGCCTGGAGAAGAGAAGGCTGCGTGGAGACCTCATAGCAGCCTTCCAGTATCTGAATGGGGGCCTATAGGGATGCTGGGGAGGGACTCTTCATTAGGGACTGTAGTGACAGGACAAGGGGTAACGGGTTAAAACTTAAACAGGGGAAGTCTGGATATAAGGAGGAAGTTCTTTCCTGTTAGGGTGGTGAGGCACTGGAATGGGTTGCCCAGGGAGGTTGTGAATGCTCCATCCCTGGGAGTGTTCAAGGCCAGGTTGGACAGAGCCTTGGGTGACATGGTTTAGTGTGAGGTGTCCCTGCCCATGGCATGGAACTTGATGATCTTAAGGTCCTTTCCAAGCCCAACTATTCTATGATTCTATGTTTTTTCCACGATTTCTGGTTCCCTTAAAAGGCCAGAAGGCTGGTCTGCCTCGTTAGCTCTTGAATCATACAAACTCCATAATTTTACTTGTAGCATCGACAGGATTTAGGGAAAATCCTCTCTTTAATGTTGATCCAGCCACCCTCCATCAAGAAATGTGTTTTGAAGTGGGATATCTCTGTACTGGATCACCATGGTCTCAAAGCAATGACTCGTACAAATTACAGCCTTTGCACATCACCATGACAATTCTTAGAAAATGAGACCTCAAACCCCATTTCAGACTTAAAAAAAAAAAAAAAAAAAGAAGAGGTATTTTTGTTTGGAATAAAGTTTCTGACTTATCTTCAACATAAATACACTCAAGATAAAGTTCTGCAAAACAGACCAGAAGCAAAAAAAAAAAAAAAAAGCCAAAAGACTTTACATAACTTCTGAAGTGCCTGGAGAGAAGATTATGGTTGTACTAGACACTGGGCAGTATCTGATTAATGGTGGAGCAGGTCCTCACCCCTTAGCACAGTTACTAGGTTTGTACACCTGCCTACATTCAGAACATTTTGTTACGGGCTCTTCAGCTGCCTAGGTGCTTAAACACTTACTTGGGTAAAAGCCAAGTTCTCCACTTGCTGCCTGGGGCGATGCAGCTATGTCAGGACATCCCACAAAGCCTCCCGAGATGCCCATCAAGTGCCATGGCCGCAGACCAAGCTGGGGCTGAACCTGGGAGGGGCTTTCCCAAATTCAGTGCGGAAAAACCCAAGCGCCTGTTGACATGTTGACTTGCCACCAGAGCAACAATCCGCAAAACCACCTGAGAAACAAGGTCGGGGGGTGTGCAGTGGTGGACTGCTGCTTGTAAACACCATCTGCATGAGTGGTACCCAGAGCCGAAATCAGGCCCTATCAGCCAGAAGGGACGCAGGAGGAGGAAGAGGAGGCAGGCAGTGGTGATGGAGCCAAGCGCTACTGCAAGGCTAATAAAAAAGGCCACTGGAGAGACAGAGTCAATAAATGTTGAATGTCTAGATGGTTTTTTCCACAAGAGGGATGAGATCCCCAGACTCCAGTTATCTGGATGCCTCTCAGAGGACAGACAGCACTTCCAGCCTTGCCCCTGAAGTGTCTGAACTTCAGCTAAAGTCAATTAAATTAAGCACCACAAAACAAAGAGAAAAACTGCACTTACACCCCTGCATCACACCATAAAGAGCAATCAGAATAATCTTAAGGAAGGCGGTGGCACTGGATTTGGCAGCATCTCCTAATGTCTTCAGTATGAAAGGCTATTTAAAGGGTCTCTGTCAACAGTACAGTAAGGATGAAAAAATTCACTGACTCACGCAGTGACATACAACCTGATGCTACTCAACAGGCAGAACACAGACCGGCCCTGGGGAGGGGGGAGAAATGGGAATATCTTCTTCCATTTTAGACACTTTGCAATGAAATCTCATTATTTCCCTTACACCAGTTTCTGGTGTTCATCTGGATCCTACACAACAACTGCAGCTGAATACAGGCAAGCAATAAGAGGAAAACAGTGAAATGAAGACGTTGGCAGCAGTACACTTGGGCCTCGCAATTTAAAAAGCTGAGTGCATTGCAATTTGGCCGACACTCTAAATGGTAAGATTTCCTTCCACACCCATCCCCTAGACATATTTAGAAAGAGCTGCACTTCTGCCAAACCTCTCTGCTCGTGGTAGCAAAACACAGCAAACCCTTCCCTGGATTTTCACTGGGTCTGTCTCCACGCCAGGATGCAAACGCCATCTCCAAGCATCTTTGTGATGCTACTGAGCATCCGGAGACTGTATCATGAGATGCTGTTGTCACTCCACAAGTACACCCACCCCCCCCCACCCCCACCCCACCCCCAGATGCTCAGATATGCCTACCAGGACTCTGTCTCAGCTCTATTATTTTAGGGAAACTGCTACTTTATTTATCAGTGAGGGTGTGAAGGAAGACAAAACTTTCTGAAGAGGTTCACAATGGTCCAGACTCCCAGAAAGGAACCGTGCCTGGGCTGCGGCATGGGCAAAGCCCTGGGAACTCTGAGCACCTCAGACTACCAAAGCGTTCCAGCTTTGGGAAAAAAAAAAAAAAAAAAAAAAGAGTGGCTTTTAATAGAAGTTTTTTTGGCAACTGAGGGCGTGGAAATACTACAAATACTTCAGAAGTCAGAGGACGTTCTGTACTGGAGTGGAGACGGTTCATAAAGAAAAAAAAAAGGTAGGGTCATACACAGCATCCAGACTGCTGGACGGTGTCGTCTTGCTTGGGCTGGGCTTGCATCATGCCCTCTCAAATGCCACCTCTGTCACCTCGTCTCAGGTTGCATCCAGTGGCTGGAGGGTTAAGCAAGGAAGGTTGGCTTTTGCCTTCCCATCAGTCAGGCACTGCATTATTCTGGGGCAGAAAAGGTGAGGGGAAGTAGCCCACTGCCCCAGTGGGACTCTCCACATCCCATCCCTCATCCCCCAGCCCCACAAGCTCTCTGGGATGGGACCACCCTTACCCTATGCAAAAATGGTCCCAATTTCTCAGTGTCCCTTGCCCCCAGGGAGCTGGGGACTGGAGTGAGATGGGATGCGGGCATGCAAACTTCTGCTGCTCAGCACATGATGCTCTCCAGACTTTATTTTCCAAATCAGGTATTAACTCACAGGAAGCTGTGAGGATTATGAGGCAGGAGCTGGGTGTGATGGCCTCAGCGGAAAAAAACAAAATGACCTGAAGGGAATTTCTCCAACTTGCACAGCCCCAGGGTGGGTAAGGGAGGGAGTAGTCATGAATTCTGGAGCACTTCCTCCCAGAGCTGCCTCCTCCCAGCTCTGGCACCACATCCTCCTCCTGGTGCTCCCAGCTCCAACCAGCATCAACTGGAATGATCCCTGCTCCTCTGCTCAGGCTGGAGGGCAGCACAGGTCTGAAATCTTCACAGCCAGAAGAGGAGGAGAAGGATGCAAGCTTTCACACTATCACAGCATCTCCCCTTGCCCTGCGGCTCTGCAACATACGCCGTTTCCCCATGAGAAGCAACATCACTGGGGCAGGAAACGCCGAGGCATGGGAAAAAACCTTCACACTTGCATCTTGCTGTTTGCTTTTCCTCTCCCACATGCCCACACAGAAGCAGCAGATCCTGCCTGGAGTCCCTCACTGCTCCCAGCACACATGGAAAAAAATACAGGCAGCAGCAGGAGAAACGGGGATGCTGTCAGGAAGCAGCTTAAGGGCATAAACAGATGCAAGGCGTCCACTGTCATGGACTCAAATGAAGCCATTGTGGAAGAAAAGAGGATTCTTCTGTTCATTGTTAAGTAGGAAGATGGGTTAGCAGGAGTCTGCAATGGAGTCTTCCCAAATGCTGCTTTCCAGTGAGGATATTCCTACCCACACCAATGAAATGGAACTTACGTATTTGATAGGCTGTCCACTAAGAGGAAGGGGGCATGCAGGACCCCACAGGCAGCCCCCATGCCAACCTCCGTGCCCTGCTGCCAGACAGGCAGGCAGCACAAATCCATGCTGCTTCAGGAAAAAAAAGAGAAAACGAAGTTTTACTTTCTCTTTCTCTGGTCTTTAATTGCAGATCAAAGCTGGCCCTTCAGGCTGGAGCCGCCTGCCAGCAGCTGCTCCTGGGCAGGCTTCCAGGCCACCCTTCGGGTGAGGGCTGCCCATCCCATCCACTGCCCTGCTCTTCTCCTGCCCGCTCCTACCACAAGCGGAGTCAATCCGTGCCGTTAACCCTCCCAGCCGGTTGCTGTGGGAATTGAGGGGCTGCAATCCAGCGACTGGGAATGAGACTGTGTTTTCTTCCGGCTTCGCACGACCTCCAAGAAAGCGAGGGATGTGCGTGCGGCACCAGCATCTTCCCACACCACCTCCGGGCTGGCCCCCAGGAGCTGCAGCCCAGGCAGCAGCGAGAACTGCCCTTTGCAGTAACTTCAGTCCACACAGGAACAGAGCCTCTGCTTTAAAAGGCAACCACACACTGCAGAGCTGTCAGCTCTAGGTACAGTTTAAAAGGAATACAGTTTAAAAGGAATAAGGAAAGGCATGACCCTAAATAATTCACCCAAGTACACTCCTGCTTGTGTATAGAGGATTTTACAAATGCAACCAGCTAGAGTGCTGGCAACATGAGGAATTACTTAAATTACTCATTAATCATGCCATATGCTAAAATTACTGAAGTGTGTAATTAAATGCTTGGAGGGCACAGACAGCAAACAATTATAGCCAAAATATAAGCAACTCACAAGCAGTTTGTCAGCTGGACATTGGTCCAGGCCACACTGGACCCTAAATTTAGACATCAATGGATTTGCAGAGACAAGAGCTATGCTGTTAAAGCAAGGCCTACTTCTTTCCCCTTCTACTTTTCCTCTTAGCATGAGTACCTACACAGTACAGAGTATGAGTGCTCTCTGCAGTCATCCTGTGCAGAGACGCTGTGGAGGGCAAGAAAAGATAATGGAGAAAAATGGCACAGAATAAACACTAACCTGGGGAGAAAAAAAGAGGGAAACGGGTTGGGAAAGTGTTACAGCACAGACTGCATGACCCCAAGAGAGGGCTGTGTTGAGAAAAAGGAAAACATGAGCTCCCCGGGCCGGGATGACTCCACCACCCTACAGCCGCTCTAATTCTTGTCAAGCTGCAGCGGGCACCACGGTGCAGGCAGATATCCCCAACACCTTCCAGGAATGAAATGCCCTGTGCAAATTCAGCCTGACAACCCTGGGATGATTCTGCATGGTAGAAAGCAGCAGCCCCTCTTGCCTGGCAAGCGCGTGACCTCCTGGCTGAGATTAGCCTCACCTCTGTTGTCAGTGCTCAGCTCCAGGACCCCGTGCTTGAGGACGTGTCTGACCCACAGTACAGGGCTAAGGTCACACACAGAGGAAGAAAAGACAGGCACTACATGACTGGGATTTGCATGGAGCAGTTCAGTGTTTGCCCCAAGGAGATCCTGGATCAAATACATACATAGGTATATGTGCATATATATGATCCAAGACCATATACATATGTGTATATATGAACCAAAACTCTTTGGGTCAAACACCAAACCTGGTACATGTCTTGTATGTCTTCCCACTGTGAAGCTCTTCCCTGGACAACAGAGGCATTTGGACACCTACTTATATATATTAAATACAATATACACCTGTATATTATATATTAAATATATATGTTAAAATAGATTAGATATTCTATATAAATAGTGGTATTTGGACACCTATATAATGATATAGGACACCTGTATGTTACATAGATGTCCAAATACCTCTGAGGTGCAGGGAAGAGTATTCTAGCCTCTCCAATTCCAGCACTGCTGACTCCCTGCATCCCGATCCCCTCTTCCCTTTGGCCTTTAAGCCAACGCAGCCACCTTCCCCACAGCTCTACTGAACACCTGGCTCCCAGTAAAAACAAAGACTAAGGCTAAACAAGATTTAATCGCTGTATTTGGCCTGTCCTCTGTCTGTCCTCAAACTGCTCAGGCTGGCAAAAGTCGCTAAAAGAGTGAAGTTTTCAGGAAAAATCCCTCTTTCCCAAAATGGGGAACATTTTCTTCAGTACGTCAGAAGCCATGGAAGGAAAGTCAGAATCACCCTCAGCAGATGTCATCCTCAGTCTGCTGTAGAAAGCTCCTACCACAGCAGGGCTCAGTGGCTTTTTCCCCTTCCACATCTTTAAATATTAGCATTATTCTGCTGTTTGTTCATAAAGAAACTGAGAATCCAGGCGTTGAATAAATAGCTGCTTCAGGCCCATGTAAGGTTCTGACTGCTTGGCAGCATCAGTGAAAGATCCTGTTATGTGATTAACTGTATCAGAACTTCCTGACATGAGTCACTGCTAGGAAGATGCATCAGCACCAGGCAGACGCCTGTGACTTCTCTGTCTGGCATGACATTAAAAATGGCAATGGGAGACATAGGGGAAGCAAAATCTACTGGGAAATAATGCTGGCTAAGCCTTTTCTATTTTAAGGAGAAATTGCCCAATATTTATATTACCTCCCCCCTCAGCAGAACAAACCAGGAAAGAAATAGCAAAGATTTGTAATCGGCTATATATACCGACCTAACCACATACGTGCCCGAGGACACGCCATAACACCGCACATACAGCTGAGCTCTTCCCGCCACACAAAACAACTGGGTCAGCCAAGAGTAACCCTAGCTGCTTTTTGAGAGCAGAAATAGATTTACTACAGCCGAGGTCAGGTTGCAGGCTCCTTGCGGAGGGGAGCAAGCAGGAAGGACACCAGTACAGAGCCTACACTGAGCACTTATTTCAGTTCCTTGGAGTGCAGTTGCTATCTCCTGGGTTTCTGGGGGAGAGAAAGAAGCACCATCTTTTGGCATGACAAATTCTGGGATGAGAAGGTGGGTACACAGTGATGCGCAAGAGCTGCAGCTGAGGACAAGCCTTGTGTGCCTGGTAGGAAATAACCCACCCTTTCTTCTGCAGCTTCTCAACAAGGGAAAGAAGCGTGAAGAAGAGTTGGGGAGGAGCAAGGGAGACTCGGTGCCTTCCTTCCACCAGACAGTTTTACAGTGAAGCATCATCACTTAATCTAATACGATTTTCCACTGGAAGAGAACCCACAGAGCTGGCAGGATTCCTATTTCAGGGTTTGTGTTTCATCTAGCACATAAATTTGCAGGAAAAAAAATTATGACCCAACACCAGCAGCTTTACAGAAAGCAGGGCTGCTACCACCTCACATAAGAGAAAACCAAGAACAGCCTCACTACAAAACAGAAATCAGCACAGAAAAACTATTTCTTCTTATGTTTCCAGTACAATTGGTCTCATTGTTTAAGTATTTCCACTTGAAAAGTTAGATCTGCAAGGGGAAAAGAGTGGATATTGGAGCTGCTTGATGCCCAAGTGATTGTTGGCTGTTTAAAGCAACGAATTACCACTGAATTAGTAAATTTATGAGCACATGCACCAAAGGACAGGCAAGAGCCAAACCAAATGACAACCTCCCCACCAGTGGTTCTCGGCATTTGCTACTTACTGAACGTTTTGCAGATGTCAGAAACCGCCTTGAAGACCCTATCCGAGAAGTTGACTTTCACCTTGACATACTTCATGTTGGGCAGCTGCAGGCGAAGCAGCTTGTGCTGAGGTGTGAACTGGAGCTTGGCATCAGCCTGTATCCCATATTTGTCCAACGTCCAGTGCGTTTTAAGGAGCCAAGTTTTCTTCTTTTCCCACCACAGTGCATGATCTGACCAGTCTTTCTTGACATCTAGAACAAAGAAGCCATTTCACCAGTTAAAAATGGGACCAGAATTAGCCTTCAAAAGACAAAAGCAAAAGTTTAAATGCATTTAACTGTGAAGTGACTATTGATCCAAAAGTGCTGACAGCCCTCTTCAGATACAAATAATAGCTTCTACTCAATAGCATCTAAAAGCCAGCTCAGAGATAAAAGTAAGAAAGAGCTCAAGAAGAATAAGGATGCAACACAATGTGTCCACAAATCACTCAGCCCAACATCAGTGAGGCTGGAGCATGAATCTGGGGGGGGCCATGAACGACCTGACACCTTCCTCATCCCCATCATGTAGAACACATGCGCTACCCAAACGTGAGTTCAGCCCCCTCGGCACACATGAAAAGCAGAACTAGAAGGAGGCTTGCAAGAAGAATTAAACAGAAACACTGTGTCTTCT